GAGAGGCCGCAAAGCGAGGACCTGGAACAGGAACTCCTGAATGCCTGGGACGAGCCGACAGCCCCAGCTGGGCGCGCCCGAGACAGCATCGGGCGCACGGCAGAAGTGGCGCGCTGGAGAAGCCAACCAAGCACGCCTACGTGGCGGGAGGTCGATGCTACCATGGGAGACACTGATGTCGAGCGTGGGACGTCACTTGGGAGCATCGAACGAAGCCAGCCAGCAAAAGGCCCAGGCGTGGCGCGCCTGCGCCCATGAGGGCCTGGACAGGGTATTAGGAGTACACCCAGAGCTGGCGCGAGCTCACAGACCGCCAGGGCCCGCCCGTCCTCGTCCGGCTGGCGTCGTTGCCCTCTCGGAATCCCTTGCCTTTGGCTCTGCCCGGGGCGCCCCCACCCTTGGTCCTGTCTATGAACCTACCACGGACCGCGGGCATATCGACGCCCAGGCGAAGCGAATCGCCCATCTTTGAGGAAGCGCAGGCATGATTCGGGCTCCTGCATAATAGATCGGCACAGACGTGGCCGGATTTGGTGGGGCACTTGGAAATGCACAGGTGCCAAATCCCGCTGAAGTACTTCCCTAGGTCCTTCTGGAGTCGATTCACGGTTTCGGCCGGGGTCTCGCCCGGGGGGGGGAAGCTGGACCCGTTCCAGAGGAGTTATGCAGATGTAAAGGCCAGTGAGTGGGTCAGTCATGTTCTGCGAGGGGTCGGCTCGCGCGCTCTCGCAGGGGGGCCACGGGCCGGGCCGAGGCGTTGGGAGGTCGTCAGGGACGGAGGGTGCGCGGGCGTGCGATGTCCGACTCCAGCGGTCGCCTGTCGCCCAGTTGGTCCGGTCTGCCCATCCTGGCCAGCTGCCGCTGCAGGGGCCGCTGCGGCTGGCCTCGCGATGCCGACGTGGGCGGCGTTTACCCCGGCCCCTCGCCCCAGTCGCACTCGCCCCGCGTCGCGTTGCCCGCCCAGGGCCGCCAGGGGATGCTGGGATTAATGGCAGGGCCCTGCGCTCTGGGAGGCGAGTAAGCTTTCTGCCACCCTGCCCCGGCAGCACCGGGGAGACGCAAGGGCCATCTGCAGGGGACGCGGGGCTGCAGGGCCTGCCCGCCCCCCCAGGGCTGCAAGAAGAGTCGACCTGCACTACCGGCGGGTCCGAGCCGGGGCGCGGGGACAGGGCAACGGGGGCGCCATTTCGGCCCCGAGGGGGAAAGGGTCTGTCGTCTTGAGAGCCGGCCAACGAAGTGTCGGAGGCGGCGTCTCCGCGGGCAGCTGCGTCGTCGCCCCTGCTGGCGATGGGGGGGGGCCGTCGCGCTGGGCCCACGCGGGGGGGGCGTGTCCGAGGCCGCTGCACCAGCAAGGGGTCATCGGCGGCTGGGCTCGCCCGCCGTGAGTGGCTGCCTGCTGGGGAGCGGGAACTGGCCCCACTGGCGAGGGGGGGGCTGGTTCCACTCCGCGCGGGCGTCGAAGGGGGAGGGCGCAGGGTCGCCCCAGTCAGGTTGATCAAACGAGTGGGCAGAAAAGGTCTGGAATTCAGCAAGTGGGTCGGCGGTCTCCTTCCGTTCGTCGTTGATCTGCTTCCACCAATCGTTGTCGCTGTGCCCCCTGGTGGGGGCGTTGTCGAGCTGCCTGCATTGCTCCCGCGTGTCCTCGGAAGGAACGTCCTTGGCCAGTTCGCGAAACGACCGGGGGCGAGTCTGTCGGGGCTGAGCTGAGTCAAGAACCCCTCAAGAGCACTCAGCGCGCGGCCGAGTGGGGAAGGGCCGAGCACGGACCATTGGTTGGCATGCTGGAGCCATGTAGGACGCATCGTGCTGTCAGACGAGTGACCGCAAAGGTGCGCGACCACGCGGGCGGCGGCGAGTCGCTCACCTTGCCAGAAGAACTCGCCAGGGAGGTAATTTGGCGCAACTCTGTCGCCGTAGACCCTCCTCAGGACGGGCGTAGCAAGAGCGGATCCCAGCTGCCAGGGGACTCGGAGCCCTTGACGTCTCTGCCACGCTCTACGACGTAGCCCCTCCACAGGTCGCCCATCTTTGAATCCAAGTCGCGCAGGAAGCCGACCAGCCCAGCCTCGATGGGCTTGGCGTTCGGGCGGTTCCGCCCGACCTCCGCGGCGGCCTCCAGGTGGCCCATGACAATGCACGCCAGCGCGGGGCCATTGGGGGGGTCGACGCGGGGGAGGAGGTTGCGTATCTCCACGCCTCCACGCATTGTGGGGGGCCTCCCGTACTGGTCCGAGGGAAGAAGGCTGAGGGCACCACCGTTCTTGCTGAACGGGACGGGCCTCGTGGCATAGGCGCGGCTGGGCGCCAGCTCTTTGGCTAACGACGGCTCGTCGGGCACCGGGGGGGCGGAGCGCGGCTTCGAAGTCGGGAAGCACGGGTGGATAAGGTAGGTGTCGCGGTCGAAGAGCCCATCAACGACACTGGGCCTGACGTCCCATGCGTGGACGAAGCATCGGCAGCACATCCACGTGGCGTTCCAACTGCGGTTGTTCCAAGCAACGACACGATCCTCCCACGCAGGGAGACCGCCGGCGCCTGCGTGCCGCGACTCCATGTCAGGTTTCCAAACAAAACAGCCCAGCGCGGGCGCTCCGGCCTGCCAGAAGAGAGCAGGGGCCCGTGGGGGGCACCCATCGCACGTGGCAGTGTGGCGACTGGGATCAGCTGCTCAGTAACCGAACCTGTCGTCCTCTAGCCGGGTGGGCGGTAGGGTGGTGTTGGCGTTGCTTGGCACCTGCAGGCCCGTTGGCTCCAGGAGGTAGTCCTCGAGGGCACCAGGGGGCACAGTGGGGGGCAGCGCCCAGTGCGTGTGCTGGGAAGCGGCCAAAGCTAAGGCGTCCACGGGAGGGGGCCTGGGAAGGTCCTGGCAAGCGTGAAGGCTTGCAGCTGCTCGTGGAGGGGTTCCTCCGGGGAAACTCGGTGGCCTTGCTTCTCTACCTTTTGAACCCAGCATTCGCCGCACAACTATGCGCAGTCTAATCCATTGGCATGTGCCTGCAAGCAATTCTGAGCCAGGTACGAACGGATGGTGTCGTTAAGCTAGGTGCCCTCGGTGTGCCTGAGGATGGCCTTGTGGCTGGTGGGGATTTTTGCTCGCAAGCGCAAGCGGACAGCCGCGCGGCGTCGTAGAGTCGCACGAAAGTCAGGCCCAAAGCGTGTATCAATGCGGAAGAACAACGCCGCCGTCGTCAAACACTAAACTGCGAACCACACCGAGTAAGCGGGAGACCTCGAAGTGCCACCAGCCTCTGTACCCGAGATACCCCAATCGGCGGGGCGAGTGGTGCTGGTGGGGATTTTTTTTGGGGTCGCGGCCGCGAGCGAAGAGGCAGGCGGCGAGCAGGGTGTCCGAGCTAACGGGCAAGCCTAATTAGCTACAAGACGCGCCGCAAGCCGGCCGGCCCACTCACAAAGCAGCCGCGTGGCTGCGGGGGAGCTGACGGCAGGGGGCACCCTGGGAAGCTCGGGCACGCGCAGTGGACAAAATGTCGAAGAATTCGGTGCCTGCCGTGAGGCATGACCCACACAGTGACATGACGTGTACCGGAGCAGAATGGGGGGCAGGCGCGAGGCCCGAGGAGCGAGTCGCCAGTGGGGCGCCAGGCTCCAACCGTCCCAACGACGTGTGCTGGCTAGGGGAGCTGAGCTGCCGAGGAACGTGGAACGACGCGACCTGCCCGGAGCGGGGGGATGAGCCTGGGGTGCTGCTGCTGCTGCGAAAGGCTGAACCACCCCGTGGCGATCTCAACACCCACAATTCCACCAGACAGTGAACGTGCGAGGCCCGGACGACCGCGAGCCGGGCCCGTGGGCAGCGGCATGGCGCCAGGCCAGGGGGGCGAGAGGAGAAGGCCAGGCAGGCGTGGTGAGCATCGCCAGCGAGGCAGGGGAATCCAAAGGGGTGCTGCACTGGTGGTGGTGCTGCCGCCTGAAGTACGCCAAAGGCCACAGAGGAACAGCCTTGGCTGGTGGGGATACGAGAGGCATCAAGAATTTGTTCACTCTCTCCTTCCCCCGCCTGCTCTTCCGCCCCTCCCCCCCAGCTCCTCCTCATCCCTCCCTCGTCGCCCACTCCAACACCTCCATGCCCTCGTCCCTCCATCCCCCTCCCTCCCCCTCCGTCCCTCGAGACTTCCTGCTCCTCCTCGTCCTCCTGTCACCACCTCTCCTTAACTCTTTCTTCCGCCATGAATTTCCTTCCAACTACCTCTTTCCGAGCATCGGACTCCGTATCCACCCTTCCCCTCCCTGAACGTTCCTCCCTCCCTCCGCCCTCCTCCAACCTCCGCCGTCCTTCACATGCCACCTCCACATTCATCAATCCATATCCGTCTCCATTCGTCCTTCACCCTGCCGACAGGGCAGGGCGAATCCATAGCGAAGGAGTGAGAAGACAGAAGAAAAAAGGAATTCTGACGGGACAAGAGCGTCTTGAACCCTCCACGCGGACAAGCTTCTGAACCCCCGCGGTAACTCCAGAAGGACCCCAATAAAGTCCCAAAGAACACCCCGAGACTGGCGCAGGACGAACGCCTCATGGGCAGCAAGCGTCAAGATTTATACCCACGACTGCATCAAAACGCCACCATCAGAACCCAACCACGCCCGAGTGCGCCCCAAGACGGCGCCAAGTCAGCCCAGAGGTACCCCCACCTGACCTTCAGAACCTTCCGCGCTTCGAGCTCTTCCCTTGTACAGCTAAAGAGCTTCACTGACAAAATTTGATCGGGGTGTCTTCAATCGAAAATCACCTTGGAACTACCCTGTCTGCGTTTCTTCCCCAAGCGAGGTTCACGCGAGCGACGCTACACCATAGGCCAGCGGAATGCGCGAAGCGGTTCAGAAACAATACATACACTTTCGGATGTTAGAGCGAATTCTTTGAGTCCAGCGACGACCCAAGAAATCCGCGCGGACCTCCGAACAATTATCGTTCTGCAGTTCCCCCCCTCCGAATGGGGGTGCTCGTATTGAACCATCCAGGCCCTTCCCCCGCAAGCCTGTCGAGTTCACGCACTGCGCCAGCAGCATGTCCACGGCGCCAGAGGAAGTGAGGCCTGTGGCGCCGGGCTTCACCCTGTCGCGGTAGTCCTGCATGCCAACGGGACAGTCGCGGTCACCGCCAGCCGCGAAATTGTGCCAAACGCAGTCCTCGTCCTGACATCGTCGTCATTCTCGTCGTCCTACTCGCCGTCGTGCTCGTCGACGTACGGGTGGTTCGTGTCGTGACCCTCTAGCGTCGGCTTCTGACACCGCGTGGTCGTTCAAACTTGATTGATCGTGGCTTTCCGATTACGCACGTCGTTCAATAACGCTGGGCCACTGACGACGTTCAAACGTGAACGCCCGCGCTGGGGTTACCGCCGCGTCAACGCGACCCGAAACTGTCGTGCTCGTCGTCGTTGTCGTCCTGCGGGCAGCAGCACTTGCCCACCTGGCCGTGCCCGGATGCCACCGCCAGCTGCAACCACTGCTGCTCCAGCCTGGCCGTGCGCGCCTCCACCTCCTTGGCGACCTGGTCCGCGACAGCCTGGAAGCGTTGCCGCGACAAGTTCATCTCCTCCCTCGCGAGGAGCACCTTGTTGGTCAGCGCATCCTGAGCATACTGCTCCATCTCTTTCAGTCTCGTCCCCGCAAGCTGGTTGAGGTCCTCCAGGCCCGCCGCCGACAGGATCTTCATGGAGGGTTGTTTGGGGCCACCGGTGGAGAGAGTCGCGAACTCGAAGGCCTTGTAAAGGCTGATGTCGACGGAGGGGGCGTAGCGCTCGCTGTCAGATGAAGCGTCGACGTCTCGAGAGGAGGCCGCGCCCAGGAGTGCGAGCTCCCAGAGCGCCCAGAGCAAGGGCATTATCGCGAGCTTGCAGTCTCCTTCAAGAGGGCAGGCTTTCTTTATGTCGCGCGGCGCTGGGCCGGACACAGCTGAGCTCGGGCCAAAGGGGCGTAGCGAACCCCACCTCGAGACAGACCTCGACTCCTCCTCGTTATCCCCCCTTCGATATACCTCGACATGCCTCGCTCAGGTCCTGCACCCAACTCTCTCTCTCTCTATCTCTCTCTTGCTCTCTGTCTGGGCGTTTGGCCCAAGGCTCGCTGTAAGCCTAGGCCCAGGAACCTGGCCCCCCGCTTTCTAGCCTGGCACGCCTGGCACCAGCGGCAGCGCTTCTCATCTCTCCCGCTCCTTCCGCTCCGCGCCTACCGCAATGGCTGGCCGCGGAGACAAGAAGACCAAGAAGCGCAAGTCCAGGTCCGAGCTCGCTCGCAAAGGGGCCCGCGTCGCCGCCCTCTAGTCAGCAAGCGCTGATCGTGCCACCCATGCCTACAACCAGCTCTTCGCCGAAGCCTCCTCCGAGCTCGACCGCATCCACCGCGAGCACACCGAGTACCCCGCCGAGTTCCGCTAAGCCCTCCAGCGCCTCTGCGGCCAGCCCACCACCGAGCCAAAGGTCAGACACGTCCACGGCGAGCGGACGAGCCCATGCGCTCGGGCCGACGCCCAGACACCACCAAAGAGAGGAAGAGAAGGAGGAGCAGAAGAGGGAGGAGGATTCGGAGGATAACGATGAGGAGAATGAGGAGGGGGCCTCTTGGGAGCCTGTTGGTGCCGCCTCGGGCAGTTACAAGAACGTTTCGTGACCCCTTGGGGCATTCTGGCGCCATCTTGGAGCGATCGTGAGCCGTCGTCGGGTCAGATTGGCCGTCTTGGAGGGCATCTTGGACAGCCTTGAAGGACAGATAAGGCCATCCTGGTCGTCTCGGAAACATCACCCCGCCACCTTAATCCTCGAGGGAACACTGGGGAGGAAGAGAAAGGAGGAGGAGGAGGAGCAGGAGGAGGAGGGGGGGGACGACGAAGAGGAGCTCTTTGGGGGGCTTCTTGGGGCCTCCTGGGGGCCGCTTGGGGGCCTGCGATTGCTTCTTGGGGGCATCCTGGGGCCTCTAAGGGGCCTCTCAAGGGCCTCCTGGCCTTCGGAGTCCGTCTTGGGGACCTCACTGGGTCGTCTTGGGGCCGTTTTGGCACACTGCAAAGCTGTTTTAGAGGTCGGGCAGTTTTAGATATCCCTGGGGGCGCCTCGGGGCCCCGTCGGGGCCATCTCGGGTGCCTCTTGTGCAGTCGTGGGATCCGATTGGCCCGTCTTGGGGCCCTCTAGGGGGCGTCTGAGGCAGTCATCGGTAGATCGTGGAGGCCTGTGGACCGACTGAAGCTTTCGGAAGCCCGAAATGACAAGAACACTGAACTCATGAAGCACACACACGAGGAACTCAACATGTGCTGGCCTCTTGAGGGCATATTGGGGATCCTCTTGGAGAAACTTGGATCGTATCAGATGTCGATTGGGTCACCTTGAGGCCATCTTGGGCCGTCGCGGGCTCATCGTCAGTCAACCTTAAATCATCTCGGAGACATCGTGGGGCCATCTTGAGCTCTCGTGAAGCCACCTTGGACGTATTGGACGCGTCGTGGGACGGTCTTGGATGCCATGTTGAACATGTTTGAGGCATCTTGGAACCATGTTGGCCAATATGGGGATGCCGCAGGCGAAGCACCACCGTTTGGGGCCGATAGGATAGGGGTCGCATAGGTGGCCAGCGAGATACGCCGAGACTCCACTAGGAACATCTTGGAGGGCCAAACAAGCCAAAAACTCAGCGCGCAAACAGTCCCTCTTGCAAGCAACAGGGGGGCAGCGGATCCAGTGGCAGTCGGCCAAGCCCGCCGCCGTTCCCGGGTCGTGGACATAAGGCGTCGTGATGTCTCTTGGAAGGCCTCCTCCTCCTCCTCCTCCTCCCTCCTCCTCCTCCTCCTCCTCCTCCTCCTCCTCCTCCTCCTCCTCCTCCTCCTCCTCCTCCTCCTCCTCCTCCCCTTCTTGGAAGCAATATGAGGCCGCGCGGGGCCTCGCTGGGGGCGCCGCGTCCGCGTCACCTTGGCGCGGAGGCCTCGAAGTGTCGGCTCGGGCTCCCCCCCTTTTTCCGGGCCCCCCTCCTGGAGCCGCCTCAGGGGCCGCTTGGGCTCGTCTCGGGGGCAGCTCGGGTCAGCTCGGCGCCCTCTTTTGGGCCGTCTTGGGGACCTCTCGGGCGGTCTCGGGGCGACCTCGGGGGCACCTCGGGCCGTCCTGGACGCTGTTCAAGCCACAAAGGCGAGAATGCTAAAATCATACAAACATGTAGGGGGTGTCTACAGGTGTTGCCTTCTTCTCGGGGCCCTGTGTTGTGATCTCTTGAGGCCCTGTTGGGGTGTCTTGGGTGCCTCTTGGGCCGTCTTGAGGCCATCTTGGGGCGTCTTGGGGCGCCCTTGGGCCGTCTCGGAGCTCCTGGACCGGCTGGGGGGCTTCCTGGGGTCCTCTTGCGCCTCCCAGACCCTTCAATACACAACATTCAAAACTGCCATCTCTGTATGCATAGAACCTGGGGGCACTCCAACTCGTGCCTCGAGGCACGGTGGCAGATCAACGAGCCTGGATCCCAAACTCACTGGATGTGTGGGGCTCCCTACGTGTTGTCGCAGACCTTTGAGGCTTCTCGCGTGACTCTCCCCGAGGCTAAAGAAACCCGAGACGGCCCAAAAAAACAGTTTGGTCTCAACAGCGTCCAAGGCAATCCGAGGCCACAAGAGGCCTTCAAGAAGCTCCAAATATAACCCGAAATAGACTTCAGCAAGCCTCTCAAAGAAGCCTCTTAACCACGACCCAGGTACGGTCGCGCGCTTGACCGAAGTCCACTTGATATGACACGAGTGCTGATATGAAGTGAGGAGGCCGAATATGACGCTGAACATGAGGACGCAAACAAACAGAGCTATGCGCAGCCACGGGCACAATGACAGGACTAAGACGTACAGACCAGCAGCGGCGAGCCATGGCTTTCGCAGCGAAGGGAAATAAAACTGCCTCCACACTATGTGACGCCAGCAGTCAAACAAATATAATCAAGACTGTGGCAAAATGTCTCGGGGGCAGTGGGAAAAGTGCTAAGCTCAATCGCCAAGAGGAGAATGGGCGCAACGATATCAGTACATGGTGGTCGCCGCCACGCATTGCAAAGTAGATCTGTCGTGCTCTCCAGCATGAGCAGATGACCTCAAAGATGGTCGCAAAGCCCTTAACCTGTTCAGGATGGCCTTGCCCTGCTTTAAGATCACAAACAGCTCTGACGGTTTCTCACCCTGCGAACGCAAGATTCCTTCCACAAATTCCTCAATGTCCACGCTGCCGCTCCCATCGTAGTCCAGCAGATGGAACACTTCCTGTGGGCGGACTCATGTTGACACCCTCAACGCTCACCTCTCAACCCAGTCGGCCCGAGGATACCACCAGCCCTCTGGGCGTAGGTGGTTTGAAATTAAATCAGCTCTGAAGCGCCTTAGAAACCATTTGAGGCGGTTCTGAGCCTCTCGCAAGGCCCTCGAGAGGGCATCTCGGGCCTACCGGGGACCTCTCGGGGCCTGTCGGGTAGCGTCGTAGGGGACTCTAAGGCCGTTTTGGGACATGTTGAGCGCCAAGGACGCTTGCCCTTGTTGACCTATCCGATATGAGAGCGGTTTGGAACCAGTCCTCTTAGAGTCCTCTTTTCGGAGGGCTCTGAGGCCGTTTGGGATTCCTCGTGGGCACCCGAAGCCCAGATACGACGCCCCCCGGGGAGTCCCGGAGCCCAAAAAAGCACCAAGACGGGCCAAGAGTGCCCCAAGAAACCCCACAGACAGTCCAAGAGAACCCCGAATCACCGAACGATCTGTCCAAGACGCCTTGACGGCCTCCAGACGGCCCAAGATGCCTGCAAAGCGCCCCAAGAGGCCTCCAGGAGCTTTCCCACGAGAGCCCCAAGAGGCAAAATTGATGGATATCCTCTACGGTTTTGAAAGATTTTGGCGTTCTTGCCTCTTCCGCTTCCCGACGCGCCAAGACGGCCCAAGAGGCCCCCAAGATCGCCCCGAGACGGCCCAAAAGGCCCCCAAGAGGGTCCCCTAACAGACGAAAAGGGCCCCAAGACGGCCCAAGACGCCTCCAAGACGGCCCAAGAGGCCCCCAAGACGGCTCCAGGAGAGTGCCCAGACGGGAGACCCCAAACGGACATTTCGATCAGCCCCAAGAGGCCCCCAGGAGGCCCTGAAGAAGCCCCAAGAGGCCCCAAGAGGCGCCCAAGGGGCCCCCAAACTGCCCCAAGACAGCCCAGGAGAGCCCCAAATTGCCCAGGAGGCCTCCAAGAGTGCCTCGAGACGGCGCAAGAGGAGCCCTGGAAGGCCTCAAGAGAGCCCCAGGTTGTCCGAAGAAAGCCTCTGGCCTCCTCCTCTTCCTCCTCCTACTTCTCCTCCTCCCCCACCCCCCCCTCTGCTCCCCCTCCTCCTGCTCTCCTCTGCCTCCTTCTCCTCCTCTTGCTTCTCCTCCACATCCTTCTTCGTTCTCCCCCCTCCTCCTCCCTCATCCACCTCCTCCACCCTTCCTCCACCTCTCACTCATCCTCCTCCCCCTGCCCCCCCTCGACTTCATCTTCGTCGTTCTCAGGGTCGACGGCACTGGCCGTAAGGCCTTCGCAATATCATTGTTCTGATGATGTCCCTAACGAAATCGCAGTGTTGGGCAAGACCGAGACCAAGAAGACGTCGACAACATCCCATGTGTGTAAGGATGTCTCTAGCGAAATTGCCATTTGGGGCAAGAGCGATACCAAGACGATTTCGGCAACATTTCGCTTCTGTGGGTGTCCCCAGCGAAGTCGCAATGCTTGACGAGCTCGAGACCAAGACGACGTCAACAACATGTCATGTTTGTGAGGATATCCTGGCGTAATCGCCATGCTGGGCGAGAAGAATGCTGAATTGTTGTGAGGATGTCCCTAGCGATATGAACATGTTCGACAAGATCGAGACCAAAACGCCGTCGATAGCATTGCAATGTTGTGAGAATTCCCTTCAGGAAAATATCCAAATTGGGCGAGAGCGATGTCGCCAAGATCTCGTTGTTGTGAGGGTGTCCCTGTCGAAATCGTCATCTGTTGGGCGGAAGTAAGGCGTGTTAGAGTTATCTTGTAGGGCCATGTTGGACCGTCCTGAGGCCTTCAGAGAGCGATCCGAAGACAATCGCCATATTGGCCACCAGAAATTCCTGGGACGGGCAATGCCAACCATCTCAAACTCCTCAGAGTCTCATGTCTTCCGACTATCGGATCGCACGCTACGCGCGCTTTCTGTCATCCACCGCCCCTGTTGATTTATCGAAAAAGTGTTTGGCGTGCTGAATGTATGACTGCCTCCGCCCTTTGAGAAGTTCCCGATGGCTTCAGGCCCAGCCCGCCAGCCACCTGGGAAACATCCACATCGACCAGAAAGTCCACGAAAAATCTCTCCAAGATGGCCCAAGAAGGCCTCCAGGACTTCCAAGATGGCACAAGATAGACTCCAAGAAGATCCCAAGAAGCCTCCAAGACGGCCAAGATGGCCCCAGGACGGCCCACAGTGCCCTCCTCTTACGGTCCAAGAGGCCGGTCTCCAAGACGCCCCATGGGGCTCTTACAGCACCTCCAAAAAGCAACATCACTGATTTCCTGACTGTTGTTCGAGGAGGTAGGGTATATTCCAACATCGTTGGTGAGTCCTTGGTTTACACTGGTCCTCCTCCTCCTTCGCCTGCTCCTCCTCCTCCGCCTCCGCTTCCGCCTCCGCCTCATCCTCCTCCTCCTCATTCTCCTCCTCCTCATTCCCCTCCTCCTCCTCCCTTTCCTCCTCCCTCCTCAATCCTCCTCCACCCTCCCCCTCTTGAGGTATGACGGCTTCCCTTGCCCGCTATTTCACTACATATCCCTCCACATCCCTGATCATGGTAACCCGCCTGGGCATCGCTGCAGGATGAGCGGGGTGGGTCACTTTTTTGCTCGCGAGCGACGCGGTCAGCCGCGCGCCGTCAGACAGTTCGCGGGGTGGGTCACTTTTTTGTCGCGGCCGCCAGCGAAAGCGCAGGAGGCGTCCGAAAAGGTCGAGCGGGCTGCGCGCGAGAAAACGGGGTGGGTCACGCGAAGCGTCCAGATTTTGCGAGCTCGTTGTCCGAGGGGAGGCCCGCCGTGGCTCCCGCTCCGCAGGCTAAACATATGTTTCCCATTATATGTGTGTGCTGTGTTCTCTCTCTCTCTCTCTCTCGGTGTGTGTGTGTGTGCATGTAGCTCTATAGCAATGTCTATTCATATCTCTGTACCTCTCTCTCTATATATACACAAGCGTTCGCATAGGTAGCGTAGCTTCGCGATTCGCGCAGACGCGAAGTGAGAGGCGCACTCTCCAGACCAGGCGGCAACGCGCGAAGCACGTTTGTCTTCGCGCCCCTGACAGATATGCGCTCAAAACTTGCCCCCAGACCCCCACGGCTCGCCCAAGCAGTGCTGCAAGCTGCGGCCAGCAACGGCGACGAGGGGGGAGGGACGACGGCCAGAACGCAAGGAAGCGTGTTCATCCTGCGAGTGGCGAAGCGCGGTCATCTATGCTCCCCAGCGGGTGACCTGGTCTAACATCCTTTCTCAGGAAGACTCGAGCCGAGAGGGTCAGAGTCGAGAGCATCAAGATGAGTACAACGATCCTCCAGCTGGTCCAAGCCCACGATGTGCTGCATGGCCTCCTTGATCTCGGTTGGAGCGTTCAAGACCTCTTCAAGGTCCACCTCTCCATCACCGCTCGTGTCCAGAGTCAGGAACATGTTTCTGAGCTTGGGCATCATGTTCTTCCTTCTCACGTTCTCCCACGCCTTCTTTATTCCATACATTTGAAACCCAGAGGTACACTCGGGGTCCCTAAAGGCCCCACCAGGGAGCTCACTAATGATTCAAGCAAGTGCGCTTGAATTGCATTGCACCCCCACCCCACTCCGCCATCTTCTGAAACAACGCTAGGCCAAGAAAACGTGCAACTTGAGTTTCGACCAGCTTGAAACTCAAATTTCCTTGAGGGACTCGCCAGGGCTCCCCCCTGCCAGTCAACGCAAGTAAACCTGCCAGAGTCCAACGAAAAATCAGATCAGGGCCGAGAACGACCAAAAACCTCGATCCTCAATTAGAGAACGAACAACAACAACAACAACAACAACAACAACAAGGACAGGGGTCTTCCCTGGCCCCCGGCGCTCGGGGGACGTGCGGGGCTCTCCTCCAGGGGGGGGCAGGAGTCGTCCCCGGCCCCCGGGGCCCCCCAACACCCCCCCCCCCCCCCCCAACAACACAACAACAACAACGGACCGGTTCAAATAAAAAAAAAACCTTCTAGCTCTATTACCACTTTACACCGGACTCGCTTCGCTTACTTGCGTGCGCGCGTAAGCGAAGCGAGTCCTGGTGCCATCCCTAATAGGATCCTATTAGAGGTGGATCCATCCCTAATTAGAGGTGGATCCTAGGATCCTATTAGAGGTGGATCCATCCCTAATAGGATCCTATTAGAGGTGGATCCACCTCTAATAGGATCCATCCCTAATAGGATCCTATTAGAGGTGGATCCATCCCTAATAGGATCCTATTAGGGATGGATCCGGATCCAATAGGATCCTATTAGGGATGGATCCACCTCTAATAGGATCCTATTAGGGATGGATCCACCTCTAATAGGATCCTATTAGGGATGGATCCACCTCTAATAGGATCCTATTAGGGATGGATCCACCTCTAATAGGATCCTATTAGGGATGGATCCACCTCTAATAGGATCCTATTAGGGATGGATCCACCTCTAATAGGATCCTATTAGGGATGGATCCACCTCTAATAGGATCCTATTAGGGATGGATCCACCTCTAATAGGATCCTATTAGGGATGGATCCACCTCTAATAGGATCCTATTAGGGATGGATCCACCTCTAATAGGATCCGATTAGGGATGGATCCACCTCTAATAGGATCCTATTAGGGATGGATCCACCTCTAATAGGATCCTACTAGGGATGGATCCACCTCTAATAGGATCCTATTAGAGGTGGAGCCATCCCTAATAGGATTCAATTTGAGGCGGAGCCATCCCTAATAGGATTCTATTTGAGGCGGATCCATCCCTAATAGGATCCTATTAGAGGTGGAGCCATCCCTAATAGGATTCAATTTGAGGCGGAGCCAGCTATGATAGGATCCTAGTAGAGGTGGAGCCATGCCTACTAGGATTCTATTAGAGGTGGATCCAGCTATGATAGGATCCTAGTAGAGGTGGATCCATGCCTACTAGGATCCCATTAGAGGTGGATCCATCCCCAATAGGATCCTATTAGACGTGGACCCAGCTGTGATAGGATCCTAGTAGAGGTGGTTCCATCCCTGACAGGATTCTACTACAGCTGGATCCATCCTTAATAGGATCCTATTAGAAGTGGATACAGCTGAACTTGGATCCTGTTAGAGCTGTACAGATGACTGTATGGGATCCTATACAGATCCTTCAAGGACTGTATAAGGTCCTATACAGATCTTATGCAGACTGCATAAGACCCTCTACAGATCCCATACAGACTGGATAGGGTATTATACAGATCCTATCCTTTACAGACTGTATAAGACCCTATACAGATCCTATACAGACTGGAGAGGATCCTACACAGATCCTGTACGGACTGTGTGGGATCCCTTACAGATCCTATACAGACTGTATGGGATCCTATACATCGTCGTCATCGTCATTCTCGTCCTCCTCACCGTCATCGTCATCCTCCTCATCATCAGCTTCATCAGCATCCTCGCCCACCCCATCTTCATCATCATCATCGTCATCATCATCGTCCTCATCATCATCATCATCATCATCATCATCATCATCATCATCATCATCATCATCATCATCATAAACATCACCATCGTCATCATCTTTCTCATCGTCGTCATCATCATCATCATCATCGTCATCCTCATCATAATCACCGTCATCATCCTCATCATCATCACCATCATCGACATCCTCACCACCATCACCATCACCATCATCATCATCGTCGTCGTCATCATCATCATCATCATCATCATCATCATCATCATCATCATCATCATCATCA